TTTTTAGTGAGCTCCTAATTCTTTTACTTTATTTACCTTTTAGATGTAGTTTCATTTTATTCAATATTAATTAGTTATCTTAGTAATTTTAGTCTCTTTTATTAGGATTAATAATTTTAGGATTTTAGATTTAGGATTAGATAGGATTAGGATTTTAGATTTTGGACTCTGGAACCCATCAGCTTCAGACACCTGTCGATGAAGTGAGTTTAGGATTTACAACCCTGAATACCATCCAAGGATGCAAAATCAGAAAGCAAAAACAAAAACAAAAAAGAACTTGAAAAGAAAGTTTAAATGGAGGTACAAACTGGAGCCGAGAGGAAATCCTAAAGAAGACAAGGCTGTGATGACTTTTAGGCAACCAAAGATAAAGGATTTATTCCAGCCAATGGACACTGCAAGTAAGTCTACTTCCCATTTTTCTTCTCCCCTTGTAACCTCCGTTAATAATTCTTATTCCTCATTGGACTGGAATGTGGATGATGGTCTTTCCACTGAAAATGAGGCTCTAACAGGAGATAGAGGGGTGGACATGGTTAATACTAAGAGGAACATTAAAGGAGACCTGGACCTGGTTGCCAAGAACTGTCTTTTAACAGCCCAAACAGTCATTGCTATATATGACCAGCTCTCTTTCTCACTGAGATATTTGTATTTCCATATAACCCACATGGATTTCCAAGTTAATGTCCATCCTTTTCCCCCATCACCTGCCCCAAAACAAATTTGCTTCTGCTCTGTTCAGTTTTTGGAGATACCGTCTGCCAAGGCAAACAGAAAGAATGTTAACCCTCTTTACCTAACTAATTTCAAACCCTGATTTGGAAAGGGTAAAAGCCAAAGTTTGCATAATTGGAATGTTTTTTAAACAAGGAAAAACAGGTTCCTAAAATGGACCTCCCCTTGACCTGAGCCCTGCACTGTCAGTAGGTTTCCCACAGATTTTAGAAGGCACCAGGACAATTATTAAATGGAAAAACCCAAGCAAACCCAAAAATAGGAAATCCTGGCTCTGATCATGTCCCTGACGAGGCTGCATGATGTGGCTACAGTCCTTCCCTACCAACACCACCCCCAAAATGCCCATGAGGTGCAGAACCAGGTCACACAAACACGTTTTCTCATCCCATTGGTAAGCAACATTTGCAAGCTTTGCCCTGCTGCACTTACATTATACTCATGTGAGGTTGAATAGGAAGGCTTGACTTCTACAAAAGTCAGAGTCCAAAGTCTCACATTATTGGTTTTCATCTCTGGGAGTTACTTTCAGGCTGGTTTGCAGTCAGGTGTTTTATGCCCAGAGAACTCCGTGTTCTACATGAGAGAGAGTAAAAGGAGAGGAGGGGAGCAATACTTTCACTCTTGCAAGATTCTGTTAATATAATCTTCCAATAATGATAGAGTTAGGACTGATGGTTATCCTGCTTGCCTGGACTACCTCGCAGGGTTAATGTAATGGTACTTATGTTGTGTTTGCATGACAACCTCTCAGCCCTATCAAGTAGACCAAAGAAAAAAATGTGAAGCATTTGAATGGGACCTTCAAACTGAAGGGGAAAAGCAACAATTGTTAGATCTTTCCGCTTGTCTTCAAGAAGAATCCACCAGGGCAGTTCAACTCCCCCTAACCTCCTGTTGGGCTTCTGCAGCTAACCTCAGCAGCTCACCTGTCACTCTTGGGGAAAAGAAGAAGAAGAAGAAAAAGAAGGATTTGCAGAGCCAGAAGCGTGAGACATGACCACTCAAGCTGTCATCTCAGTGTTTCAGCAGTTGGCTTCCATAAAGAAGAATCTGGATTCATGGGAAAATGATTTCAAGGCATTGCTCCAAAAATACACAGGATAACTCTCAGCTTTTATTGAAGGCCAGGCAGAAGTCCCAATTAAGCCTCCTACCTTAGAACAAAGAATTAATAATTGGCTTCCTAATAAAGTTAATGAAACTGTTGGTGATGATCAATGCCTACTGAAGAAGTGAATAGTGATAGTCTTATACAATCCAAAGTTACTCTAACGTCAAAAGAAGGAGCCACCCTCTGAACGCCAAATTGCATCTTTTTCTCTGAGCAGACTCAATTCTGCTCACTGGGTCTCTCAAAGAGCAAACAGAATTTCTCTGAGACAACTCCTCCTTTACCAGTGTCAACAGATAGATTTATGTGCAGTCAAATGGCTCCCAAGTTCATCGGATAGCCAACAAATCTCGCTGACCTTTCAGCAGTCTATAATTCCTCCAATGCTATTTAAGAGGAGACCATCTTTAACCACATTTCAAATCTTTGCTACTACTGTAGAGTTTTTAGTTATGCAAAACCAATGTCATAATTTAGCCTTTCTCAACCTTTTGACCCTGGAGGAACCCCTGAAATCTTTTTTAAGCCTTGGAGAAGCCCTGTACATTCAGGCCCAAATATAGGCCAGAAGTTACAAAATTATTATATTTGTTTCATGCGTAGGTCTGTAGATATGCATAAAGAATGTTCTGAAACTAAAAATAAAGAATGAAACTTGTCTCTTTCACCTGTGCTTGTTTTTTACTGCAGAAATACACAATTCTGGGTCAAATGTGAGATAAACACACAGGGATATCATCTTCAATGGAACTAAGACGATTTCTGTCTTTGCTTTTGATGCTTGCTCAATAAGAAAAAGCTTGCTCACACACGTGAGTAGTTAAAAACTGCAGCAAAATGTTCAGTGTTTTCTATGAATGGCACAGAAACCCAGAACTTGTCCATGGGCAGATCAGTCAATCTCATCTTGAGTGCACGATCAGCCAAAATATTTTCTCCAGTGCCTTGCAGATAGTTGTTCAGCTGCTTCATGTGATGGAAGATGTCCACTAAGTATGGTCGTTTCTGCAACCATTCTTCATCTTCAAAGCACTCAGAAAAATATGGAATACAATTTTCTCGAAAATATTCTTGCAATTTTGCCTTCACTTCAAATACTCACTTGAGAACTTTTCCTCTGCTGAGCCACCGTATTTCTGTGTCTAACAGGAGACTTATGTGCTCTTTGTCCAGGTTTTCACACCAATTTTTAAACAGTCTTGAGTGAGCTGGTCTTTGTTTAATAAAATTAACCATTTTTGTAGCATCACCCAATACCTGTTTCCATTTGATCTTCAAGAGTTTTGGTACCAACACCTCTCTGTGAACAAAGCAGTGTATTGTGACAACATCAGGATTTTCTTTTCTGACAAGAGAAAGAAAACCTTTCATGGAGTCAACCATGGACAGAGGACCATCAGTCCGGATGCCCCGCAGTTCCTCCAAGACAGACTTTTTGTTTCCAGATATGAACACAAAACCTTAAATACCTCTTGGCCTTTGCATATTTCATGTAGTTCCATGGAGCAGAAAACGGTTTCTTGAATTTCACCGTCACCATAAAACATCATTTATTAGTGGAATCTGTTGACTCATCAACTTGGATCAAAAAGATGTTGTTCTTCAGTTTATCACACAAAACCTCTTCAGCATCATGTGACACGTCATCAACACGCCAACTTATTGTACTGTTGGACAGTGAAACCTTTTCAATTTCTTGTACTGCATCTGGTCCAAGCATTTTTCCCACTGTTATTTTACATGCTAGCATGA